TCTCTGGCAAGAACACGAACGGGAATCTCGACAGTAGTCAAATCCTCCTGAAGCTCAATCTCTGGTGTGTCCAATACTCGCTGCTGCTCCTCATCATGCAAGTGTTTCTTGAGCATAGAAACATGAAACACATTGTGTATACTAGACATCGATACTGGAAGATCTAGTATGTATGACACAACTCCAATGCGCTCCAAAATCTAGAATGGTCCAATATATCTCGGCGCAAGCTTCCCCCATCGCCCAAATCGCTGCACGCCCTTCATAGGCGATACCTTCAACATAACTGAATCTCCACGCCCTTCATAGGCGATACCTTCAACATAACTGAATCTCCAACCTGAAACTCCAAGGGTCTTCGCCTCTTATCTGCATAGCTCTTCTGCCGACTCTGAGCTGCTAGAATCCTCTCTCTGATCAAGGCTATCTTCTCAGTAGTCTGCCTCACCAGCTCCGGTCCAAGCATCAAGCTATCCTCCGGCTCGGCCCAACATATCGGTGACCTACAAGGTCTCCCGTACAATGCCTCATACGGGGCCATCCCGATCGTCGCTTGATAACTGTTGTTATAAGCGAACTCTATCAATGGAATATGATCCTCCCAGCTGCCTTGGAAGTCAATGACACATGCCCACAACATGTCCTCCAACACCTGATTCACCCTCTCTGTCTGACCATCCGTCTGGGGGTGGAATACACTGCTATAAGATAGCCTGCTACCAAATGAGTCCTAGAAACTCCTACAAAAATGCGAGGTGAAAACTGATCCTCGATCCGATATGATCGTGTCTGGAACTCCATGAAGTCGAACTATCTCCCAGATAAATATCCTCGCATATGCCTCAGCAGTATAGGTAGTCCTCACTAGAATGAAATGGGCCGACTTCGTCAACCGGTCCACAATCACCCAAACTGAATCATTCCCCTTCTTCGACTTCGGCAACCCCACAATAAAATCCATGGAAATGTCTGCCCACTTCCACTCTGGAATGGGTAAAGGCTGAAGTGTCCCTGCCGGTCTCTGATGCTCCGCCTTCACCTGCTGACAGGTAAAACATCTAGCCACATAGTCTGCAATCTCTCTACACATACCGCTCCACCAGAAATGTCTCTTCAAGTCCTTGTACATCTTGGTGGTTCCTGGATGCACTGTGTACCGAGTACGGTGTGCCTCATCAGATAACTCTCTCTTCAGCTCTGCACTGGCTAGCATAACCAATCTACCATTCATCCGTAGACCTCCATCAGCTCCAATGGTCCAAACAGTCTTAGGCTCTTTGGAAATCTCCTCCTTTCGGATTTGAATCTAAGAGTCTCCCAATTGAGCTCAGACAACTCTGTCACTCCAAGATGGCTGCACTGTCACAGCTCCCAAAAATGCATTGGTTCCTCCAATCTCGGGTCTAAAATCAAACTGGCTAAGAGTGGTAAGATCCCGATAAAGTGAACACCTCAAAGCCGAAATACGATGTCGACACTTCCTGCTTAAGGCATCTGCTACGACGTTCGCCTTCCCCGGATGATACTGAATCGCGAACTCGTAGTCTTTGATAAACTCAACCCACCTCCTCTGTCTCTGATTGAGCTCCTTCTGAGAAAAGAGGTACTTCAGACTCTGATGATCGGTGAATAACTCAAACTGCACTCCATATAAGTAGTGCCTCCATGACTTCAGTGCAAATACCACTGCTGCTAACTCCAAGTCATGAGTGGGATAGTTCTGCTCATGCACCCTCAACTGCCGTGAGACATAGGCTACTACCCTCTGAGTCTGCATCAATACGCCTCCTAAGCCTGCCAATGATTCATCTGTATACACAACAAATGTCCTATTACTACTCAGAATAGTCAGAACCGGCGTTGTAGTCAACTTAGCCTTCAAAACATCAAAGGCCTTCTGGCACTCCATGCTCCATATGAACTGTACACCCTTCTTCGTAAGGTGTGTAATCGGCACCGAAATCTTCAAGAAGTCCTGAATGAACTTCCTATAATATCCAGCTAAGCCCAAAAAGCTGCGAATCTCTGTCACCGTCTTCGGTGGCTCCCAATCAAGAACTGCCGTGACCTTTGCCGGGTCTACTGCTATGCCCTCTCTACTGATGACGTGGCCAAGAAATCTGACTTCTGAAAGCCAAAATTCGTACTTGCTGAACTTGGCATACAGCTGATGCTCCTACAGAGTCCTCAACGCTATCCGTAGATGCTCCTCGTGATCTGCCTCCAATCTCGAGTAAATAAGAATATCATCGATGAAAACGATCATAAACTGATCTAAGAAAGGATAGAAAACCCGGTTCATCAAGTCCATGAATACCGCAGGTGTATTGGTCAACCCAAATGGCATGACCAAGAACTCAAATGATCCATATCTAGTAAGAAAGGCGGTCTTGGGAATATCCATCTCCCGAACCCGCAACTGATGATAGCCATAACAAAGATCAATCTTCGAGAAATACCGCGCTCCCTGCAGCTGGTCAAACAAGTCATCAATCCTAGGTAGTGGGTACCTATTCCGGATAGTGACCTTGTTCAACTCTCTATAATCTATGCATAATCTCATACTACCATCCTTCTTCTTCACGAAGAGGACCGGTGCGCCCCACGGAGAATGACTCCGGTGAATAAAACCCTGAGATAACAACTCATCCAACTGGATCTGAAGCTCCCTCATCTCAGCTGGTGCCATGCGATAGGGTGCACGGGATATCGGGGATGTGCCTGGCTGCAACTCAATACAGAATTCTACCTCTCTCACCGGAGGTAATCCAGGTATGTCCTGAAAGACATCCTAATACTCTGAGACAACTCTAGTCTCCAATAACTCAGCACCCTGATCCCGTCGCATCACCTCCTCGATGTACGCCAGAAATAATTCCGCATGTCGGTTGCCCTGAGAGGCGGCTACAATTATCTCGGACCCGTCAGACGCTCGCAACTTGACTGTCTTTACAAAACCCATGTTAAATCTCTTGTAAAAACGTTTCAGATCTAGATCTCCGATTCAAATAAACATTTGTGGGTTTTGAATATTCTGAAATCATATATCTTTCACTATATGCTATAAAAATCAATTCTTTGTACAAAAATTACATTTTTGGCTCATCAAAACTCATAAAAACTCTTTGAAAACGTTTAGAAAAATAGGGCAAGGTTGGGCGAGATGTTACTCGCCTCTGGGGTGATGAAAAGCTTCTGGATCTGAGAGAGAGTGGATCTCCTCTGCTGCAACGTGAGGATTTCGCCGAAAATTCTCTAAGTTCTTCCCTAAATCACCAAGAACAACCTAGGGTTTTAGATAGGGGAGAGGGGGCTAGGGTTTTCTCTGGTCTGAAGGTGAGAGAGGGTGTTTTCGGGTGAGAGGGGATATATACAAACAGTTAAACCCGACCCGAACCCGAACCAAAACAAAACAGACCCGAAACCTGTTAAAACTGGAAATCAGTGTATCAGTCGACTTACGTATCGACCGACACGATCAGTCGACTGATCAGTCGACTGATCTAGAAAAATTTTGTTTTTATGTATGTTTTTACTTATTTGCAAAACCAACGCACAAAACCCTACACCCATACTCTCATATCATCTCAAATAACTTGTTATCATGCACATCAATGACCTTAAGCTATTTATCATAAAAGAATTATTTATTTACTAAAAATTCATGTATATTCATATAAAAATTTACGGGGTTCTACAAGCATTGAAGTTGAGTCAAGCTGAATACATTGAGAAGGTACTTCAGATGTTCAACATAGAGAATGCTAAACCCATCGGCATACCCCTTGGAATCCAGTTCAAGTTATCTTAGGAGTAATCACCCAAGACAGTAGCTGAGAAGGAGCACATGAGTAGAGTGACATAGTCATCAGCTATTAGTAGTCTTATGTACGCAACAGTTTGCACTGTTAGACCCTAGAGGGGGGTGATTAGGGTCTTATGCTAATCTATTCTGATTTTATGCTAATTAAAACTAATTCAAATATTATTCTTGTAAGATAGATATATATTATGTTATGAGCAAGAATGAGTAATATAAACAAAGGGATATATCCTAGCAATGAGATATACTATGAGATTTATGCAAATTAAGATATACAAACAACACAAGGGTAAATAATCTAAACTAGATAGTGGGGAATATAAACAACAAGCAATATACAAATGTGATATAAGATATGAACATAAAGATAAATGTGCCAATGCAATCACAAACAAATAATATGATCACGGAGTTCGGTCCTCACGACCTATGTCTCCGCTCCTCACCTCGAGGAGATCTCCACTATCACAACCGGGTTTCCTATACTCACTCGAATAACGTTTACACCTCACACTCGGTTTTCTAGTTCACCGAAAACTTTACAATCTCACACTATTGCAATCACACTTTACACCCTCTCAAGTGTTGGTCTCTAGCCCGTGTCTCACTCAAGTATTAGGAATTACAACCTACCTCTACTTATTACCACCTACCCCACTCATCTTGGGACGAGCCCATCTCTTACCACACACTCCTCTCGGTGTACAAGTGTATTATAAAGTGAACCTCACAATTAACGCTTGATACAACAAATGTTTGTTCTCTAATATGGATGAGAACACAATGAAAGCTCACACTCAATTGATATAACTCTTACCAATCCAAATATACTATATATAAAAATACAATAAGCTTAAGTGAGTGTGTGTAAACAATGAGTGAAATCAAATCAAATTACAGAAGAAGAAGATGGAGAAAAAACCCTCAAATTTTTGGAGTTTCCATGATAACCACACGAACTTTTTTCCACGAAAACTTTTTCAAAGTTTGAGGTTGTTACAAATCCCTCTGGAACTTTCAAAATGTCCCAACTTACCATTATTGGTGTTAATGGAGTAGCCAGCTATTATTTTGATCATGTAGCTTGTTGATCCATAAAAGCAGTTAGGAGGCGTGGGAAAATTTGAAAGTTTAAGGAGGTTTTGCAAGACATGCGAGGTCAGGGCTATGAAATATATCATTTTTAGAATGCAAGTCGCATATCCGTGACCTGGTCTCTCCCTTTAGGATATCATAGTCACTGGATTTAATTTCTATTAAGAAATGTTCATATGTGCACAAAATATACACGCGTATAAAACATTATAAGGAGTAACAGCTGGAGATACATTATGTTGGAACAGTCTGGAATCTCTCTAAACGCAGAGCTTAGCCAGTGAAAAACCTTTTCCATGTTTGCCACGGCAAAAATCCACCTGCAAGCAAGTTGAATAAAATATCCAAAAAATAAAATAAAGTAAAAAAAACAATAGATTTACTCTTAAGTTAACAAACATGATATGTTAAAGATTACCGCAGTTGGGGCAGCGGATATAGACATCATCATCCTGTACTAGTCCGGATCCTCTGCAAATTTCACATTTTCTCTGTGCTCTCTGAAATATTCAACATACAACATTTAAGTTCAAGTTCCCATCAAAACAATAAAAGGTAAAGCATAGTTAGTAAAGTTAATAAGAAAAATCGTATCTTGCACTTATTTGCTTCAAAAAAAAAACATGTCATGAAAGTCTAAAGTTTTTACAACTTGGGCTGAGGACAATTTGTAAATGCCTGGCCTAAGCTTCTCACAGAGAGAAATTTTCGAGAAGAGATTGGGAAAGGATTGAGTTATTCGTAACTTTTCTTTTGGATTTTTGACCTTTTCTTAACCATATGTTTAATGGACAAATTTTCAAAACAGTATTATTTGGACTTTTATTTGCAAAAAACGACCCGTTTTGAAGTTATTTTTAAAAATCGACCTGGTTTCAGCCGGTTTCTGAAATTTTTTTTACGAGACTTCACGGGAGTTCAACTCCCGTGAAGTTTAGCAAATTTTTAAACTTCACGGGAGTTGAACTCCCGTGAAGATGAAATTCTTCAAAAATCTTCCCGAGAGTTCAACTCCCGTGAAGATTTATCCAGAGAGCAAACTTCATGAGAGTTGAACTCCCGTGAAGTCTGTTAGAGTATTAAAAACTCCAAGGGAGTTAAACTCCCGTGGAGTTACAGGACAAATTTCCCAGAGAATCGCTCTCTAGGAAATTTAGTCTCTAACTTCACGGGAGTTGAACTCCCGTGGAGTTTTGGCCTCCCCTATATAAGCGCGGGCGTACTCGTGAAGAACCCCGATCTCACTTCTCACGCCGCCGCCCCAAACCCTAGCCCTCTCTCCCTCGTCCCAACCGCCGCCACCCCAGGCCATTTCCGACCGCCAGAACTTCCCCTATTTCCAACCGCCGTCGCCGGCAGTCCCGATCCTGTCGTCGCCGGTAGTCCCGATCCCGTCGATGTCACCGGAGTTCGACAGATTGAAGGAAACATCGTCCAAAAAAGTTTATTCTCTTAATTTCTTGTATTTTCTCACTATTTCATGGTGATTACATGTAAAAATTTAGATTTTAGAATTTCATTGTGAATTATTTATGAATTTTGTGAAGAAAACTTAAATAATTTTATCGATTTAGAGGGGAAATTATCAATAATGTAACAAATTAGTGTTACTACATATGTATGACATCAATTAGATTTTAGAATTTTATTGTGAATAATTTATGAATTTTGTGAAGAAAATAAATAATTTTGTGGATTTGGAGGTGAAATTATATAAAATGCAAAAATTAGTGTTACTACATATGTATCACATCAATTAGATTTTAGAATTTCATTGTGAATAATTTATGAATTTTATGAAGAAAAATTAAATAATTTTATCGATTTGGAGGTGACATTATAAAAAATGTAAAAATTAGTGTTGCTACATATGTATGACATCAGTTAGATTTTAGAATTTCATTGTGAATAATTTAAGAATTTTGTGAATAAAAATTAAATAAATTTGAGAAATTTGGAGGTGAAATTAACAAAAATGAAAAATTAGTGTTACTACATATGTATGACATCGGTATATGAATTTGGGTAAAATTATGGTTCCCTAAAATTGATATAGGATTTAATGGTAAGTAACAATCAAATTTTAAAGTATTTTCGTGTAATATTGTTTTTGAATTTTTTACTCTTCAGAGATAATGATGAACAATCGAATCGTAATTCTTTGTTCTGCAGGAGAGTGATTGTTCAGACCATATTGGCTCGGGTCAAGTAATACGTTAAAATTTTTGTATATATTCCTTCGGTTTATGTAAGGACCACGAATTTTGATACTAGTTAAAATAAATTTTTAGTATTTTAAAATATTTAATTATGATTTTTAAAACAGTATTTATATTTTTCTTGAATTTCTACAAATTTCTATGATTTAAAGTCTAAGTTTTATAAATATTTATTTGATTTCAATATTTATAAATTTATTCAGTGCAGTAAAATTTTTTAGAATTTATCCGTTGAGTTACCGATACTTTTACATGTCATTTTGAATAATACGTTGTATTATTTTTATTATTACATATATTTTGTATAATACGTTGTATTATTAATTACGTATTATTTGTACAACTAGTTGTATTATTTCTACTATTACATATTATTTGTCGTATTAGTACAACATATACGTTTTACTGTGTAGATAATTATCCCATAATTATTTAATTTTAAATATAGGTAATTATATTTTTTTTATTAATTATTCTTGTTTAATTGTGTAATTTCTTGTATTATTTCTACTGTTGTGTATTATCGGTTATATTACTACAACTGATACGTTTTGATGTGTAGATAATTTTCACGTAATTATTTAATTTTTTTGTGATTATTAATTATTTTTAACTAAATTTTAAATACCACCCCGCCCCCCCGCACGATTCCTTCATATAATATATAGTATTATATATATATTATATATTATATATATACTAAAAATTAAATATATATATATAGTATATTATATATAATATATACGTATATAACTTATATACTATCATATTAGTGTTTATATCTTTTTCTTTTTCCTAACAAACTCTCCCGCCCCCCGCCCCACCCCCCCCGCCGCATCGCCGTCGTCCTCTATCTTCTTGCTTCCAAAAACCGTGCGCGCTGCCGCGCGCCTGCTTTCTCTCTCTCTCTCTCCGTCGGCGGTTCTCTTGGGCCAGCGCCGATAACCACCCCCATGACGCCATGACCTCGTCCCACTCGCAACGCAATTCGGCCTCCACCTTCAGCCCGAGAACGTCGCCACCTCGTCCTCCTACCCAGCCGTCGCCTCGCCCACACCATAGCCAACAGCAGCCCAGTCCCACGCCGCGCACTGGGCGCATGGCCGCTCCCATTCTCCGACGCGCGGTCTGAGCACGGGGTCTCTTTCCATGGCACTTCTGGCGGTAAGCGGATGAACGGCCACAGCCCGCGTTGCCTGACCGCCGGCTACGCACAACAAAGACACGAGCGCCAGCCGGCGAGCCGCTGCTTCTCCCCCTCGTTGTCAACGCCACGCACCTTCAGCATCTCCTTCACCCGCACCGCCGCCTGAGACCGCGTGGGCAACGCCGCTTCGCATCTCCACGCCTCAGCTCCTTCCAGCCAATCACCTCGCGACGGCATACCAGATCTGGCCCCTCTCTTAGCAGCACTAGCCGCCTCCACGCAGGCTTGTCCGACGACACACACAACAGCCAACTTCAGCCGCCGTCCTGACCTAACTCAGCTACCTCCGAACGTCGACAAAGGACCTCTCCCACCGCGTCAGTCGACTAAACCATGATCCGAGGTCCTCACATCTCGGCAGCGAGCTCCTCCGTCTCCAGCTCACAGCCGACAGCCCTTGCTCCGCCATCCCCACCGAGATCGCAAGCGCGTCGCGAGCTCCATCCCGCGCTGCCTCGGCAAACCCGTCTCCGATCAGTCCTACGTCGCGTCCTCCTCCGGCCACCACGTCACTATCTGGTCTCCCCGCTGCCCCTCGTCGGAGTCCCCTACGACGCCGTGCTCTCCGTGTCAGATCTGACCCGTGCCGCTCTTCAGACCCGCGCTTAGATCAGACCCGTGGACATGCATGTCGACGTCGATTCGTTCGACAATACCCGAGGCAAGATCCCGATTACTCAGATCTAAATTTTTCTATTTATTATAACTTATTTACAATTTTAGATCTTTTAATATTTATCTGTGTGGGTTTGATTAATAATATTAAATGGTTAGTAATTATGTGATAAATGGCATTTTCTGGACAAATATAATAAATTAAAGAATTTATTTTGGGTAACAGAAATATTTTAGATTAATTATAATATTTTTAGAATTTATGTTGTGGAACAAAATTATTTTATAATGGGAAATGTTTTTAAAGAAGTTATTTTGGAAAAAGATTATTTTTGTATTATGACCGTGTGATTGATAGTTGAAGAACATGACATTTCATGTACATTGACACCGACATGTTGACACTCTTATTTATACTCACTCATGTCATATATGCATACTTGATTCATCGCTAGCTTATATAGTCATGTTCATCATATGATTTGCATAAAATTAGTTGTATTTATTTATTATTTCTTGTTTTGTTAAGAACCATTAGTAGTTCATGTCCTTAGTTGACTAGCGTGTCGTGTACAAGACCTAGATACATGTGTATTGTTGACTTAGAGAAACGAGAAGAGTTGGGATGGGGAAGTCATGGTTCATGTAATCGGATAAGACTATTGATATATCTTTCAGGATTGTACCAGTAGATCGGTATCGCCACTGGGGTTGGTTTGTTGAGTCATAGTGGATCGGTGTCGCCACTGGGGACTGGTTGGTTGGATTAAAGTAGATCGGTGTCGCTACTTTAGTTCATGAATTTATTTGATTGGATGCATGTAAGGGATATGTGAACAATCAGTTATCCGATAATATGAGCGTTGACTCTGTGTGAGATTTGAACCAGTGACCTTTTATAGGATGGCTAGTTACATGACTTGTTACCAGTAGATCATTGTCGCCACTGGGGTTGGTTTGTTGGGTCAAGGTGAACCGGTGTCATCACTTTGGTTAGGATTTATGGATTCTTGTGAGATGTAGATCAGTTGTATTTCTTTCATACATAGATCGGGATTAATATTTAATTATCTACAATTTGAGACATATGGTATATACATTAGGGTTTCATTGTTTGGATTATTTCGCTCGACGTACTACGTCTCGAGTTGTAGATTTTTAAATATTAATTACATCTAGTTGTATGACCCTATTCCTTGGATGATTATTCTGATGGCTAGCTGCATGATCTTGTTACTTGGTTAATTTCTTGGATTTTGACTATTAAATACTATTGGTGGATTTCATCTAGTTTTTAGTATCTAGCTACGTGTTTCTATTTATTATTACTATTTTTGCCTTGGTCATTCGACCGTTCCTATTTCTCCCTTGTGGGATCTTGCCGTGTGCCATGCACGCTGACGTACTCCTGTTCTCTCGAGTTGTACGTTAGATCTAGAAGATGGACAGCTTCAGTTCG